TGGGAGGCACATATGCAAACTGTTGTAATTCCTACACCGTTCACCTGATTTGGATGTAAATACCCTCAAATTAAAGCTGACAGTCTGCAGTTAAAGCACATCTTGTTCGTTTCATTTGAAATCCATTGTGGTGGTGTATAGAGCCAAAAATGTTAGAATTGTGTCGATGTCCCAATATTTATGGACCTGACTGTAGCTGCCATCAGCCAGTAAGTTATTGACAGGGGTTTGAAAAAAAACATGGCCTCCATCAGTCAATCAGTTTTCAGCAAATATTTAAAAAAAAAAAATAGCCGCCATCAGCCAATCAGTTTTCAGCAAATATTAAAAAAAAAAAAAAAAAAAAAAACATAACCGCCATCAACCAATCAGCTTTCAGCAAATATGTAAAAAACATGGCCGCCATCAGTTAATCAGACCTAAAAGTAACTGCTTCCAAAAGCAAAAGAGTCTATTAAATCCCGATTCCCGATTCCTTTCCCTTTCAGCCTCAGCGAATTCTTTTCGTGTGTTTGGTCTGAACGCTGCTTCAGATGAAAAAGCAGAAACGCGCACTTTTCAGGTTCCACAGTGGCCAAAATTCATAACTGCTGCAGCTAAACAGTAAACGTTGGCACTTCTGCGTGAAGGGATGGAATTCGATTTGAACATTTGCCCAGTTACTGCGTGTGGCTTTAAGCTGGAATTAAATTAAATTTCACGCTCTGAAGTGTTCGAGGCGAGTCAAACAGCTGCTCAGCTCAACAATCCAAAGACTGAGAGCTCTTCTATCTTTCCACGAGTACATAATGAAATAATATTTAATCTCTAACCCGAGGCATCTCCAGCCCGTGTTGACATCCGCATGTCAAATCCACATTTTCCTCCATTAGCGTTTGCTGAGGAGCTGCTGAGACGGTTCAGGCGCAGTCGATGGGCAGGGTTTTAACTGCTCGCCAGCCCCAGAGCGAAGAAATACGCGTCTAATGACGCCACTTTTGAATTTCAGAAACGCTTACAGCGGCACTATTAAAATGCAGGCGTGATTCTCCTGCATGGAGTCGAGCGCATGGCGTTTCCTTCATACAGACGTTGACAGGTTCCCCAGAGCTGAATGCTGCCACCGGATGAGCCCGTTACCTCACACCTCCTGCCAGCCTACACTGCAATTACCAAGCGGAGAGAGGATGCTGTCATGATGCAGGCTAACCTGCACAAAGGGCTTGAGAGACGACAAGAAAATTCCGGATATCCGCTCGTTCGTACACCTCACACTTCTGTTGCCATTTTGTAGTGGGGGAAATTCTTTACGACAGACAGCGTACAAATAAAGTGTGGAACTGTAATACCAGCTGACCACACGAGTCAGACTAATGAGTCATCACATCGGTGTTGAATTCTGGATTCTGATTGGTCAGAAGGGTGCTGATTAATCTTCTATAACAGGCAGCTCTGACGCTAGCTCGTTCTAATATATTATCGTTTCTGTAGTAACAACGTTTGTTGGTATAGTTGATATAGCGAAGTTTGCTGTAAGGAGATAGACATCTATATACATTCGGTAATGTAGATAGACGTATCGCTTATTTAACGTTTACGGAAGGAGTCTCCAGTGTCAGAGGTAAAGCTGCAACTTTCCAACATGTTCAGGACAGACGAGTTCACGTTTTGTGGTCTCTCAGTGTAACATGACAAGCTACGTAATAATAATAATAATAATAATAATAATAATAATAATAATACTTTATTTAAAAAAAAAATTTTATTTATTTATTTATTTATTTATTTATTTATTTATTTATTTGTCATCCCAGCAGATTATTATTGTAATACAAATTATTGTGTACTGTAATATCTGGTCGAAAAAAAAAAAGGAACAAAAATTAAAACTGCAATTAAAATATTCTGCAAAAATAAAAACCACTATTTTCAACAAAATCAACAAAAAAACAGAATTCCAAAAGGTTAAAAAAATTAAAAAAAGTGGGTTTATCCTGCAACAAAACAACATCCAAACTATTAATTTGACCAAATTACCGAATATTTATTAGCGATTTATTAGCCACTGCAGAACATTTGTCACATTTTGAAGTACACTATCCTTTTACAACGTAAATATACATCTTAAATGAATATTTCATGTATGACTTTAAATACATTTTGTTTAAACCAAATTCAAAGCTTGATTATAAAATAACGCATGCATATTTTAAATTTGTTTCCTAATCTTTGGAGATGCCGGAGCCGCTACTTCAGGATTAGATTAGCATAAAGAAACTAGCTATAACCAAAATCGGAGAAATGTAGGCTTGAATATGAGGAGACTCACAAAACGGGTAAAAACCACAAAAGATGCATCGTCTCACGGAGACGTGTCCTCTATTAACCTCGGCAGCCCTGTGCACCGTCAGACCAGCCCGGCCTAAATTATATTTCGTCCAGTGGAAGAACAGTTTTAAATGCTTAAATAAAAACGAGTGAACGTCCATCACTATCAGTCCTTATTCTTCCTAATGGAAAACACGTCCCTGAGAAAAAGACGTCCGTTAATTAGTTATCTGAAGTCATTACGATGGAAAAAGCTGAGAGATACGAGCGGACAAAAGGGTCAGAACCCTGTGTTTTATAGAACGGCGTGTATTCAGAGCCAGTGCATGTGCGCTCTAAAACGGAGACCGTGTCCTGCTGAGGTCCCTGCTGTGTTTTTACCTTTGCTCTCTCTGTGTGCTAGAGAACAGTCTGGCTGTTTCAAAAACGTCCAGAACATTGCCAGAATAACGCCTCACAGGACGCTCGGGCTGAAAGGCTGAAAGGTGGAAATGTGTTTAATATGTTGTCAAAACCGCTACGAATGATAATCTGCCCATTACACCAAAATTTGACCAAAAATACAAGTTACAATCATGAATTGTTAATTTACGAATTTTTTTTTTTACGAAAATGACAAAACTTGTCACGAACATCAGAAATGGTGATGGCCATCGAGTTATGGCAAAAGCCTGGATCTGGGCGTGGCCTGGCGACTCAACAGCGCCCTCTTTGAGATTTAGGATATAGGATAGTAGGATAACATTCAAACTCTTTTTTTTTTTTTACAACTCTTTTTTTTTTTTTTTTTTTTACAACAGCTCATGTTAGCACACATTTCCTGTGTTATGTCAATTAGAGTATCTACTTTATTTCCATAACAGATCGTTCCAAAATAATAGCTAAGAGACTTATAGAGATTTATTTCAGCTTTTATTTACCATATCAGATTTACAGTGGGTCAGAATTTTGTTCGTTTTTGGTGTCATTGCTTTTTAATTGCTCAAACTTGAATCCATCGCTTTTTGTATCCGTCCACAATCTTCTCACAGAACTGGTGGAACTCAGGCAGGTTTGCTGGCCTCCTCGCTCTGATACGCTTTTGCAGTTCAGTCCACACAGTTTCTGTGGGATTCAGGTCAGGGCTTTTTTTTTTTTTTTTTTGGCCGCTCCAATATTTTCACTTTGATCCTAAGCAAACCTTTAAAGTTGTAACAAAATGGCTTAAAAACAACATGTCCTGCCGGAAGACGCAGTTTTAACTTTCTGGCTGATGTCTCGAGGTTTTGCTTCAGTATCTCTAGATGATCCTCCAGGTCCCTGGAGGGCTAGTGGTTAGGCCACAGCACTCTCACCGCTGTAGCCTGGATTCGATTCCTGGCCAGGGAACTTACCCCAACCACTGGGCTTGAATGCAACAGTACAACGTTTCTAGATCATTTCTCACCAGTCTCTTTTCTAGCAAAACATGATGCTGCCTTCCCAATTAACTCCTAATTATGCAGTTGGCCTTGGTTTGTGTGTGTGTGTGTGTGTGTGTGTGTGTGTGTGTTTTTTTGTGTTTTTTTGTGTTTTTTTTTTTTTTTCATTTTTGTTGTTGACCTTCTAATTTCTTTTTCCATTTGTGTTTTTTTTTGTTTGATTGTTTTTGTTCTTGTTTTGTATTGTTTTTTTGTTTTGTTTTCTAAATATTTATTTCCAGCGAAGAGATTCAGGAAAACACTAACATGAGCTTTGCAACAAAACAATAATCCCGTAAAACATAAACCCAAATCAGGAAAGCAGTTAAAATGATTAGCGAATATTTAGAATCCGTTCAGAAAGGGGTGAGCAAACTTTTAAAACTTTTGAAAGTGTTAAATTTAAGACTGTCGCTATTACTACCAGGATACACACCACTTGACCTTTTCTTGTTAATTGTGTAAATGATTATCTACTTTTTTTTTTGCTTGAACTTTTTTCTATAAGCCAAACAGCAAAGAACATGTGTAAGTAAAACATTGCAACATCTGGATTTCGTAACGTATCTAATCTAACAGTGTAATTAGAGAATGTAGTTAGCATCGATGCATGACCTGCCTCCAGCTTCAACACTTAAACACACCACAATCAGGGGAAATACTAAAAGTGTTCGTCAACATGGCTAACACACACACACACACACACACACACACACACACACACTCGTCTATAATATAAACCAATGATAACTACTAGAAAGCAGTTTGGAATGCTATGACAGACTCCCCGCGATCTTCCAGGACAGCAATTCCCCGTACAAGCTGCAGGCTGTAAAAACAAACCAACTTAAATCCCTTAATTAGATGTCAGACACAGGAGGAGAGCACAATCACTGATACACAAACACACACACAATGACACACACACACTGACACACTGCGCTACCCATTGGGATTTTGTGCAGTCTGCAATGTCACGTAGCATGCAGCGGGGGGAAAAAAAGCACAGCGGCTTAAGTGGATCCCAAACAATGCGAGTTGATAAAAAGTTGCTGACTGCAGTGTTTATACGACTACACGACAAACACGACTGTTGCATCAGAACCTTTCGGCGTTCTCCAAATGCTCAGCAAAAAGTGAATGATATTAAACAAAACAGATGTTGTGGGTGCGAAGCTGCAAAAATGAGAACAGGCATAACCATCTTGTGTACTGATGAATTACAGAGGTGATTACAGTAAGACTATAGTAAGAGTCGTGAGGATTTAATACCAAAATTGCGTAATCAGACCTCAGACGTAACTATAGACTTAAGCACTATTCAGAAATTGTGTAGGAGTTACGCAGAGTGGGCGGAGTTTGTCTAAAACAGAGGTGTGTCTCAGTCATGGGCAACACCTTGGACTCTTCTGAGGACCTTGGAAGTTATGCTTCAGAGAACCTCAGAGAACACACAGACGATTTTAATAATCTGAATGAAGAGCCCAGGAAATAGAGTGAAGCAGGCGCATAACCCGATTCTGAATACACAGAACTTTCCCTGCATAAATACTGACATAACGTTTGGTCTTAAAGTGACTCTGAATATGTCCCAAGATTATTATTATTAGACATTTTTACTTATTTCAGTTTTTGTCTCATATAATTTTTAACTTTTTTTTATGTAAAAATAAGTTTAAAATAACATTTTTATTCAATTCTATTCAGTTGAGTTTTATTTGAATAGCATGATTAATAACAGATATTATCAAATTTAAGATCAGTAGAAACTAGTATTTGGTTTTATTATCATAATTGTTTTATAGTAATCTTCTAATAATTAGAAATTTTAGATAATAAAGGTTGCCACTTGCTAAGATATCAGATTGTGCGGGCCTTCAGATCACGCTGGATACGAACTAATTTATTCGTAAATCGTTCACAGAAGCATTTACATGTAATGTTTACGAAAACACAGTTATTTCATGAAAAACGCAATTAACCGTGATTTTATATTTTATTTTCTAGCTGTTTGTTTTTTTCCCCATCTTCAACGTTATTTAATGACAAAGAAAAAGGCAAAAGAAAAACAGAAAAAAAAAAATCCCCAAACTCCTTAAACTTGGCATTAATTAACAAATTCTTTATTTGTTTGTTTTCTTTGAATAAATGTCTGGAAATGTTTGAAATTATTTAGACAGAAACATTTTAGAAAAGAAGAACATTAAAAATCGTAAAAAAAAAAAAAAAAAAAAAAAAAA